ACGAAGAATACATATACAAGACATTTAAAAACATATCTGTATTATAATGTAAAACGAGATTATTAAAACTCAAGAAATTAAGCAATATCAAAAATAAAATTATAATATTTTTCGAAAAATGAACTTTAAAGCAATTATACAAGCTATATAAGTTATATGATGGATATATCAAACGGCTCTTTTCGTTTCAAGGCATTTCATGTTATTTTGCATTTATGTCACACGCATTTATGGCTTTCAACACAATTAGAGCGCGCAATTAGATTGCAGAGCTTCATTTTAATTCCAATATAACTTTGCGAGAATTCTTCGTAAGATGTATAATACTTTAGTTGCATCTATCTCGTTTCAGATAAAGTAAACGTGCATGTGCATTCGCGGTACCGGCGAAGATAAAAATGCTGCGAATGCAATGCGGAGGATGCAGAGAAATGCTGATGTTAGCCACATAAATCTCGTATGCTTTGTCACGTCTAGTCGGAAGTGCAACGTGCGTTCGTAATGAAAAATATTTCCGAATCTTTCGGTTATTTATCATCATTATAAATCAAGCTGTCGTTGAAAGAAAATATATTACTATTTCATCGACATTCTTCTCGATTATAATATGAAGAAAAAACTTTTAATTATTCTGTATACATATCTCAGAAAAAATTATCAAGCAAAATAACGATTTTTCTGTTAATCAGACATCTGTTGATAAGCTTGTTCATACTGATAATATCGACATTCATTTATCACTATTGACAAAACAATGACTATTGACTGTTATGTAACCAAAAAGTTCTTAAAATATACACTTCAATGCGTATTAATATCGTGATCAATTAAACAAAACGAGAATTTACTTGAAAACGTATTCAAGGTTTAATTCTATAATTAAAAATGTTGTATAATTGACAGTCATATATGACTTAGGATGAAGGTTTTCGAATATATATAATTCTAGTTAGAACGCTGCATAAATCAAAGACAATTACACGATCTTAAGAATTATCTTGCGAGGACGCATAACGATCCCACGGTTGTGCATGTGGAATCTCATGTATCTTACAGTGTTTACGCTCTTTGAAGCGGAATAGATTCGCTCGAGTGCACTTTCTCAGAGGAATGTATTTTATTCAATCTATATATGATGTTTAAACCGGTGTATTTATGTATATTATAATTTATCGTATTTATATAAATCGATAAATTTTAATAAGATTTTCTGAAAATATTGTTAATATTATATTAAACAGATATCGCAGAATTGGATATATAACATTTTTCTCTTTATGATTAGTGAAATTAAAATTTGGTATCAAAATATACTGATAATTTTCGAATTATTTATCAACAATGAGCAGCTTTTGTTACGGATTACGTTAGATAATAGCATATTATTTCTCGTTCACACAATTTGAATTGGATTCCAATAAAATTTTGTTTCGAAGCTTAAACTTTAAAATATGAAATATTAAAATTGAAAAGAAAAACAGATTTAATAAATAATTATCTTCGACGCTAAAAAAAATTTATTAAAAAATACTATAAAGAAAAATCGGTTTCCGCAATTTTACATATAATCTTGTAATATTCTGCATACATAAACGTTTAGTGTATTTTGTAATTTTGCTTAGTATTTTTTATACATCTACGTAAAATTTATATATGTATATAAATTACAATATACATACGTAAAAAGATTCATAATTTTACATAAGACAATTTTATATTTCTATATCTCTATATTTCATAATTTATTTTCTGAAAATTATATAAAATGTTTAAAATTATATATAATAATTGATTTCTTTTTTGATGATTATTTATTAAACATATATTTATATATTCTTCTTATAAAGCTGCGAGTGAGTTCGTTGACATCGATAGACGTGACACGCGAAAGAGACCGCCATAATAAAATAATAAACTCATTATACTACCGGCTTGTCCATTGTCTGGGCAGTTGCTCTTTGTGACCTACCTAACAACGCTATCCTGCATCGGTTGCTACATGTATACGGGGCCCTTTTGCACGATGGAATTCACTGCGGCTCACGTGCACAGTCGGGTCACGGCTCGAGGGAAACGTGAGAGCATGTATCTACACATGATCTGTCGCAGCATATAGGCACCTATGTATGTAATATCGCGTATGCGTATGGAATTTCTACAGTACCTAAGTGCATCGACTGAGCGTTTAAAAATAAACTGGGAAAATTACATGGGGATCGTGTTCCGTTTTATTTTTTTTCCATCCACGATTATACAAAAATAAAATTAGAAATTGGTATTAAAGTTTTTAACAAAATAAATATTTATATATTAAAATTCTTTTATATGACAACAGTGTTACATTAAAGAGCAAATATTTGCTATGTTATACAATAGAATATATAAAAATCGTACAAAATAAAGTTTTTTTTTTTATCTGTATTTATGTGTTTATAGCTTCATATAATTTCAATGAGGAGTTAGTCATTTGATAAAAGTGAGACTTTATTTGGGATGGATCGTAATCAGACAATGGTTGGCATACAAAAAATAAAACAATATCTTATCGTCACATACCTAATCGTTCATTCACCACGTTTCATTATACAAGAGAAATTTATTTCTTTTCACACACGTAACTTACTTTTTATGGTAAAATCGATACAATGTATGCACGTGAATATTTAATTATACATTTGTAAAAATAAATTCTATAAAATTTTCGTTAATATATAATTATATCTACAAAGAAAGGTAAAATTTATAAAAAAATTATAAAAATAAATTATCAAAATATATATTTTGTAAAGCAAATAAAAGACGTGAAAAATTTAGATTGGCATAAAATATATAAATTTATAAGCAGCGATTTTTTCGTGACTGGTTAATAAAGATGTAAAAGATGAAAAAATTTGATTAATAACAAGCGCCTTCTTTTAGTCTGTAAGTTTTTCGACGCCATAGAACACAGTGAATATTGAAAGGTGTAATTTAATACTAGCAGCAGCCGCTGCTGAAATATTACTGACAATTCAGACGCCGCGTAGTTTACTTATGAACATAAATTTTTCAAGCTTCACCGTCGCACGGGAAAAACTCCCTAGAGTTTTATGGAAATTTCTTGTCGATGTAAATTTCGTGTACGAATTCTATATCACATTGCATTTTATATATTTTTCGTATATGTACGCATATATATTTCAATTCATCTCCGCGTCCATCGAAATAAAATCGACGCCGAAAGTTATGAAATCCCACGCAAATAACCGAAAATAACTCTCTCACGCGTACGATATATATACATATATTAAAACGTGGCATATACCTTCACGATTCTTTCGAATTTCTCAGACATCTCAAAGAGTAATTTCTCGGTATTAATTTTTGTTTGTGACACATTTAAAAAAATATTTAAATAAAAAAATCTTTTTATCAGAAAACGTGATTATTGTAAGAAAGATTTTATGAGTAAAGTTCTTTACTTCTTTTTTCTCCGTATACAAAAAATTTTCTTTTAATTAGCTAGCCAAAAAATAAAATTTACTCGATAATAAGTAATAGTATTAATAGCAATTTTATTCGCATTAAAAGAGCTGAATATTTTTCTTATTTCCCTTCTCTTGTTTAAAAACTTTATTTGTTAGTACTTTTCATTTATTGTAGTTAACAATCTAATTATAAATTTCATTAACAAACTTTACTGCGAAAAAATTGGATAAACTTTACGATAAACTTTTTTTTGTAATAGATTTTTTTTTTAGTGACATTTCTATATATTCTGGCGATACATCAGTTCTTTCAAAACAAATGGTTGTTGTATTTATACTAATCAGATTTGTAAATCAACAATTTTGATTAAAAATAGCACGATAAATTTTAATTTGGTGAGTGCAGTTTCATTATCGACAGGATATAGTCGAGATCTCACGAAGTCAAAGTTGCGCGATGCAACACAATGCAGCGAACAATGCATCGCGGTTACGACGGTTATAAAAGGAATCGCCAGTTGCTCTTGCGATGTAACGTCGTTTGGAAAGCATTGTGGAAGATTTTAATGTTGCTTTCAATGCTAACTGAAACTCTCAAAATGTCGGAGCAAGCAATGTATCTATTTAAAAAGTTTTGTACACGTAAATAAGAGATGTAATAAAATTCTCCTATTTTATTTATTATTTAGTATATATAATGATAATGTTAATATAAATTTATGTGGAAAATAATATTAGCTTTCAAAGTTCTTGGAAAAAATAAATTACTAAATATAATGTTCAACATGCGCGTTGGAGGAAACCAGTAGATGTTTAGCATTAATGCTCCTAGCCACGATACACAGAGGTCGTCGTGAATCAAGGGTCACATTTATCTCATTGAGTCCTATCAAACTCAATTACCGACTCTATAATTAACGTTCCAACTGACCGTTCCAGCTAACTTATTCAAACATTAATAGGTATGAGAGGGATGTGTTATTATCGAAAACCGCACGTGGAAGGAAGAGTTTTAGACGAATGAAGTAGTCGGAGAAAAAGAGACAGAAAGAAAGAGAAATCCGAAAAGAAACAAATAAAAACGTTAAATACAAACAATAAGTGAAAACGCATAATCATTTGACATTTCAGATAAAAATATAGTCAGTCAATAATGCATGTACCATACTCTGCGAGAAAAATAATTAGCCAATGATTTTTTCCTGAATAAGTAGAAAAAGATAGTTAAAGGCGATTCGTAATACGAATAGAAAAGGATGATGATTCTAATCGTTGATTTTATTCTCAAGATACGATTGATTAATGACAATTCTTTCCGGGAATCGAACAAAACAGATGTAAAATGAATAAATTATTCTTTGAAGATAATTATTTTTTTTTTTTATTATATACACATTTTTTTTTAAATTTGATCACGAGATAAAAGAAACAAAGAATTTAATGCAAAAATAAATTAAGCAAATAATTTTCAAGATTTATTTTGATCATAAAGTTGCGTATCTAAAATAGATTTTACAAATTGTGAAATTCTTGCGTAATTCTTTCTTCAATTTGCTCCAATTCTTCAATTTGCGATTCTATATTTGAATCATTATTATTGGTATATATTACTTCTACGTAACTTTTCTATGTAACAATTGCACAACGTATCTTCTTCTCTCGGGTCGTCACAGCAGGTTGATGATGTACGGCGAAGAGGATGATGATCGTGGCGATGCCAAGTGAAGGGGGAGAGAGAGATCATTGGCATATCTTCGAGAGTGGGAGGAAGTAGTAGGTTCAGTCCGCGCCGAACCGCCGCGAAGTGTGGATTCAGTGAACGATTCACACGAACTGATCAGTTTTGCCTTTGTCTATCATTGATTTTGCAATTATCGCGTGATTGATCGTCCTTTACATTGGAAATAACGTAACGAATGTTGCTGATCAAGTACCTCGTAGGGATTCCGCTTGAAAGGTATGCTGCGCAGTTTGTTGAAAACTTGATGTCACTTTGCTTCTGCTTTTAACAACATCAGTTTGACGTTCACGGAATGTCATTCTGTTTATCGTAATCACTCAAAGATACTCTCATCCTGTGCCTGTCATATCTTCGCGACGAGTCCCATACGTCATTCCGATTCTCGTGTCTCTTGAGATAAAAGACATTTTGCGATGCGAGCATGTGAGGGGATAAAGTTCTTTGTTGAATAAACATCGTCTAACTTTTGGCCAAGTATGCGTTAGAGAAGCATAAATTGGATACGGATATTATAATGAACTTATAAACGAGCTAGTAAATTTTCTTTATGTCACTGCATTGGCGATGAATTTGATATTTATTGCATATTAATTTTAGCAATCGCAGTTGTATCGCGTGCAATTTGCGACTAATATCGAATCTCGTGAAATCTGACCTTCGACTCTCGATAGCAATTCATTCTCTGATTGGCTAGACCGTTTGATTGATAGAACATATCGTAGAAAATTACTTTAGCATATTTTTTTAGAATGTTATTTTTTTCCATTTGTCGCCGTGAATCGAGATTGTATCAAACAATAGAATATGCAACGCTCATTCGTTGCCAGAAGTTGATTTAAAAATATGTGGAAAGTGTCGAGAAATAGAAAGATGAATTAGCGCGTTTAATGTACGCTACATTGTTACATTGTGCATTTTAATTACTGGATATGCGTAATTTATTCGTTCCCATTTGCATCGGTCCCCTCCGCTCCTTCTATTTATCTGTTTGTAATCGCATTGCGTTGAGCAGGCGTTTTGTTATCAAATGAAAACCAGATATCAATATGCGATAACGCATTTCCGTTTTATCCTTCCCCCCGCCCCCTCGTCTGTATCCTAAACATTTAATTGTTGAATAATCGATTGCGGTGAATTTTGTTGTTGCGGCGAGATAAAACGTGAACATTTTATTGTAAATGATTATTCGATCGAATAATTTATACGATAAATATATATTAATGCTTTTGAATATATCAGAGAATTTTGCACAATTAATATTAAAAAAGCAATTCAACTAGATATATAATTAAAATTAGTAAATAATAGTAATTGTAAAAAATTTATTTATATGTTTAATATATTACTATTATATAATGTTTAATATATTACTTGTATAGAAATATTATATCTGATGTTAAATGTCAGAAAAATCATACACACGCAATGTTGATTTAAAATTCTTCTCTTTTAGTATCTCGTGAGCTAATTACTGTCATAAATTTTATATTAAAAAATAGTATATTTTCTTTATATTATCATTTGTATATCTTTTTTGTATACAGTATACGATTTCTTATTATCTTCTACATATATGCACTAATCAACAACTAATAATATTGCTATCTTTACCGTTGTGTTATCGTTCGCGAATGTACATCTCGAGAACATGAATACTGTTTGAATTATGCGATGATATGATATTGGTAGTCAGCCACAGTGGTACGAAGCGAAACACTGGATGGATTAATCCGCTCCTATATTGTCACTGTATCATTCATGGTATGTCGATTCTACAATCGGAAATTGTACAATGTCCTGTATTGCAGCTTCCGTGCTAAAGTACACGATGTGTAATTAAGAACAAAAAGTGATACACACATAACGCTGTGCATAAACAAAAAAAATCGCGTTTGTCAGCCGTGACAAAACGAATGAATGTGTCATGCATCGCGAGAAAGTAAAATAATGATATTATACACGGTATGCGTCACCGGTAAACGCTGCACAAAAATATGAAGAGCGATCGCAAATGTTATACGTTATCAATAAAGAAATACCTGACAATACTTCTCCAAATAATGGCAATTACATTATTTAATAAAGTTTATTGACGGTAATAATATATATATATATTATTCAGCCTGTAGTTATATATATCTCTCATCAATGCATGATAATTATTCAGTATGAAAGAGAACATGCCGAAAAAGTACCGTGTAATGTATTAAGGTGCACCTGTGTACAAGGTGTCAAATCATGCAACGACGTGTAAAATGATACATACAAACTCCGATTTGTATTTTGCGTTTAAATTTTCTCGCACGTTTGCATACTGCTTTATGATAGTATCATATTTTTGCAACTTTGTATTATTTTATCAAAGATTTATGCGGCGAGATTGGACTTTGACAATTCTTTGTGTATATAATTCTATAAAGAAATCTTTTAATCTTTTTTTACGGATGTATATAGTTATTAATAGTGAGTAGTAAATACCCTGGTATTGCAGTTAATTTAACTTAGTAGACTACTTAACTGCGCAGGCGTGACTACACTAGTAAGCAGGAAATTAAATTATGCCTCCGTTACTTGCGTGCATCTAGGTCATATGATTGAAGCCTATTCCCTAGTATAATTTTCAAGGCAGAAGTATCTTTGATCCTATATCGTTACATTATACCTTGATCCTCTTGATCCCCGATTGACTAACAAATTTACACAGTCGATTATTTGAATTATCGACTTTTTAGATTATAGTTTAATTTTGGCACTTATAATTATTTATGTTGCTAAATTTTATCTCTCAATAAATATATATTATACATTTATATCATGACATAGTATATTAAGTTTGATTAAAGATTGATAACATATTCATATATTTCTTTTATCATATTGTCAGAAAGAGAACTGGTAAAAGAGAGCAAGCGTGTTTATTAAATAAGTAGAATTTATCTCATAAATAAAATATCAATCGCGTTGCTAATGAAAAATCGGATATACCTATATAAGAGGATTCCGATAAATATTTATCCACACTTCTAAATCAGATGAGAAGAGACTATAGCATGATCAGAGTCTGAACTTACATCTGGCATTCTAGCCTTGCCCACGCTAAGTTATTTGAAAACTCTGACTCACTAATTCCGAAGATTTCACGTTGATGATTTGAAGTGGTAGAATTTTGATGAGTTCAAGTCCTATATTTTAATATGCGAGAAAAAAATTTTTAAATTAACAAAAAAGAAATCGTCACGTTTCTATTGAGTGAACATAGAAATTTGAATTTGGTTAGATACATCAATAATTTCAAGCCCCGTTTCGCGTTCTCTAGCCTTTCAAAAATGTCGATAATCTCACGACAAAAGAATAGATCTCTTTCTTTCTTTATATTTGGTGGACAAAATGAAAGCAAACACGGGGTGAATACAGTCGTGTCTTTCGCTGTCGTGGTACGATGTTCATGCTCAAGTATTCTGTGACTGGTACACGGTCGCACGCGGCTTATGCGTTCGCGCGTGTGTGTTAACGCATACATTTCACGGATGTGAGTGATAGGTACCCACACCTTCCAGATACCATCAATTCAAATACTGTGTGTATGTAACTAGCACACCCAAGGCATAAAAGACAGAGAGAGAGAGAGAGAGAGCGCGTGCAAGGCCAGGGCCGTACATCTAAGGAGTTTTATCGCGGATCGTGGAATTTTTCGCAATGCTTCCTCCATAAACTTTAATTGCGCCTCTTGATCTTCTTCCTAATCTCTACTAACTGATAATTAAGCGCGGTGTTACCTCAGTCTTCGTCGGCGCAAAATGATACGAATCAGATGTAGGTTTCGCACTTTATATATGTGTACACATGTGGTACGTTAGTTTTTATTACTGAACTATATAAATAAAATAATACGAATTGATTTTTCGGTCTCTCTCTTTCTCTCTTTAATTGAATACACTCCATTTGGTCTTCATAAAATGTTTCTCTAATTGAAATCTTGGATTATAATTGTCCGATTTATATGTAGGAAATTAAGCCCCTTTTGACACAAATATACATATATATCTAACTTGTAGTATCGTGTGATTCTGACCCGTCGTACGTCAGAGAGAAGTGTTTGCATTAGCGTAATGTGTGCCCGGCTGTACCATTCGCCGCCTTCTCGCGCGATCACGGTTTAACCGTGACGCAATTCTCGCGCGACCCTCATATAGCCCCCAAGGAAATCATCTTCATGGATTTCGCGGCACTGGTTGTGCTACATTGTTGTCTCGTGAGAATATGTGAAGACAATCCACGCGATATTCTTGAAGATCTAAAGATTCATTAATATTGTTTCATGACATTGTAAAAATTATAATCTATTTATCGCTTAAATCATGTGAAAAAGAAAAGAAACTAGTAAGAGATGGGTAAAATATATTAAAATCATATATAGTATTCTTATCTGCACCAATTTTTTTTTCGAGTAAAAGATATTACACGATTGATAGAATTTACTGTCAAGTTTCAACGTTTGATGTTAGAGAACTTTTAAATTTATAGGGAGACTCAGAAAATTGTAGTAGCTTCAGCAGCGATTAAAATAATTTTATGGATGCATGTAAATCAAGTTGCATACTCTTCCGTATATTTTCCACGGCAATTAGCGTTATTCTGCGAAATTAAACCGGAAGTTTACTCATATTTGCATTATTAGGATATGAAATATGCGGTTTAACGTGGGCGTGTTATTGAAAGTAAAATTGGAGTCTTAACTAAAAACGTTGTATCCATGGATGATAAATGATTTAATGAAAGAACTAATGACACATGTGAGTTTTGCATGTAATCATTTTTACAATTATATATTATTATCGCATTTTCAACAACAGTGCTATTTGAGAGAGAATGTATTAGTAATTACAGCAAGAATAGAAATTTTATGAGTTCCTAATTGCTCTTGATTTGCGAGAGGGCGTGTGAGTGGACATATCCCCTTCTAACAATAAGTATTATGTACATGAGAGATATGGCACAATGACGTAAAGACATGCGTGTAGCACGATAGCGTTTCTTTTCATTATCTCGAATTGTATCTGTAAGCATTAGAGTGGTTAAAGGATATTAGAGTTAAGAAACACACATATATTTTTAGAAAAGATAATTGATAGAAACAGGATTTTTTCATATGCCTTAACTTTATATCTAACGTAACATATAGGTTGTTTTACGCTTATTAATTGGATGTAACAAATATAATTGAAATAATTAATTGCATTTATTTGTATCCTTATTTTATTGAATCATTTTTGTATGCGAAACATGTATAAAAAAATTCGAGACAGTTAATTTAATTTTTAACAGTTATTTAAATTTTTGCACGAAAATTTAGCATGATTATGTAATTACGTAATGACCGTGGCAAATAATAGGCTTATTCGACATATGCTAATAAGCTTAAATTTCCCGAAGTGTACTTATATAATGAGTAACATCCAGTGCGTGCGTGCAATACGCGTGTCCACGTTGTTGCCTACGCAAGGAATGCATGGAATTTGCGAGTTATTTATAAAACAAGGATTTTTGTGGGGCTTCAAACCGAGAAAGATTTCTACGAGCTTTTCACAAGTTTCAATATCGCTGTCGTACATCATGCACGTACAATTAGGAACAAAATTGAAATGAATTATTTTTTAAATAATTATTTAAACTTTTTGATTTTTTAACGTTAGATTACAAAGTTATATGATACTTTGCTGTTCAAAATTAAGTTATATCAATCTTTATCGTACTTCAAAAAAGAAAGAAATATAAAAGAATAGAGTTCGATTTTATAATAAAACAAACTTTTCTTTTCATGAAAAGGAAACCGCTGCGTATTATTCGTGAAATAATCGAAACGTCGAACACATTCTAGCTTGAAGTCCGGCCACAGTGAGGCGTCATGAAGGAGGTCCAGGAGCAGCAGCAGCCGGAGTCAATGGAATCCAACGAGTCGGTTTCCGGTTCGAACGAGTACGCCTATCGACCGCTCACGACAAAGCACAGAAGGGCCGGAAGTACCGGAACAACCGGCGACGAGGAATACACCACGGACGAGGATGAGCTTTACACGGATGAAGCTGATTGCTCGATCGGCGCTACGTTACATCCGCCTCATCCCATCCTTAAATCAGACCTCGCGAGAGCAGCCACGGATCTCTTCGGATACGCCGCTAAGCGCGAGGATGAAGACGAAGAACCCACTAGTCTGTTCGATGAGGATGATAACAAGTTCCTAGGTGATAGGTGCGTTTAAGCATTGATTTCTTCTACTTTTGTATAAAAACTGCTTTTTTACGAAGTATATTTTGTAATATATAATTTAGAATCATGCAATAGGATCTCTATAACTTATATTATAATTTGAGTGGAGACGTAAAATTAACACACAAAGAAAAAAAGTCTGCTGAAATAAATGACATATTCTATATTATTATAACAAAAATTTGGTCAGTTATTATATGCAAAATTATTCTCTAAAGAATACCGGAGTACTTTAAGTTATTTTATTAAAATAATATATTATTGTTTTTTCTTGAAAGTATTGCTTTCATATAATAGAAAACTACAGGTTTTCTTGAAATAGATAATTTTGCTATAGCACTAAATTTATGTTTATAATTTAATGTAAATTTAATTAGCATTTTATCAACATAATAGATTTTGCTATAATATTGAATAATTGATTATGATAACGAAATTTAGCTGCATTTACATCGAATATACAGCAAAATTTTTCTTCCTTGTGGAAATTACGAGTACTGAATTTTAACTTTTTTCAATGTTTAATAATATTATAAAATTATTCTCTAAAGAATACCGGAGTACTTTAAGTTATTTTATTAAAATAATATATTATTGTTTTTTCTTGAAAGTATTGCTTTCATATAATAGAAAACTACAGGTTTTCTTGAAATAGATAATTTTGCTATAGCACTAAATTTATGTTTATAATTTAATGTAAATTTAATTAGCATTTTATCAACATAATAGATTTTGCTATAATATTGAATAATTGATTATGATAACGAAATTTAGCTGCATTTACATCGAATATACAGCAAAATTTTTCTTTCTTGTGGAAATTACGAGTACTGAATTTTAACTTTTTTCGATGTTTAATAATATTATAGATTAATTGTATTATTATTAAAATGTTGCAATACTTTTGTATATCATTAAAAATTGTAACATGATTTGCATATTTTATTTTTAGCTCAACCAAAACCACTCCACTATTCGCGTACAACGAAAAGCTACAAGGTGTTCTATCGAGACATCGAAATCCATCGGAAGA